ATTAAAACTCAGCAAAAGAAACGTACTCACGACGTGAGTAATTGAAGACTCATGACGTGAGTAGAGTGTTCTAGAATATATGCATCGGATGAAGAAGAGTCCTTGTCGAATACGTTAATCTCGCACTCAGGACGTGAGGATTATCTGCTCACGACGTGAGCCTGGAAAAATCAGATTATAAATATCTTTAGTCCATTACAATTTCGGGGACTTTTGGTGGATAGAAGGCAGACCTAGAGACGATTTGGAGAGGAGAAGAAGTTCTGGAAGAGGCTTTTACCACCAAGGAAGAGAAGAGTACATCAATAGTTTAATTGTTTGGTACATTCATTATGACTTCTATTATGATTTGTGTTTGTTTATCTGTTGCTATGAGCAGCTGAATCTAGCTACTCTTGTTTAGCTAGATGAAGCTTCTGACTTATGATTTAGCTTATTGATAATGGATTTACTTAGTTGGTAATTTGCTTGTGTTGATTATTATTACCTAGCATGTTAATATTTGTTTCTTTAGTTGCTTGAATTCATGTTCTATGTAGCTTAATGATTACTAAATTACATGAACTTGAAACCTAGTGATTTAGTGAACATTGAATTGCTAGAGCTAGGATTGACCAATCCTAGATAGTAATTAGAGTAATTAAATTTAGGTGTGCTAGAGAACATAAATTATGACCATAATTGTGTTTGCATAATCTTACATAGCATATTCATAATCCATAACTGGTTCTGTGTTTGATTGTGTGTGACCATACATAGTTTTACATGAATTAGTTTAATATTGGTAAGTTTAGCCTTAAATTACTAATACAATAATAACCAACTTGATAATCCATAATTGTTAGCTAACCATAAAGAAGAAGTGGATTCGAACTAAACAGGAGTGTTTTTAATTATTGATTGAATTTGAGTTAAGTTAGTCTGATCTTGCAAAATCGGATAAAAAACCTTTTTAATTATTGTTTGATTTTAGATTAATTTAGAGTAATTATTTTAGCTAATTAAAACCGTTCCCTGTGATCGACACCCGACTTACCCAAACTATTCTATAATTTGACTAGGTACACTGCCTAGGTGCATTTTAGTTAGTTAAGTAGTTAGGTTATAAATTTAAAATTAGGTGTAGCTATTTGCATGCATCAAAGACTTGACTATTTTGTCCTTATCTGGTCATAATGTGACCAAGATATTGTCATGTTGTGAAGTGCTGTTGACCGTCGACTTTTGTTGACCGTTGATCGTTGACTTTGACCAGTTTGACCTTGGGTCAAACTTGAAGGTTTTGGGCTGTTGATTAAGGCTCTACCATGTTTTGGTGCTAGAAGGTTCATAGGAACAATCAGAGCAGAAAGGGAGCGTGTTACAATGTTTCTAGGTTCTCCGATTCAGGCGAGTTTCCTCACAGTAACTGTGGGTCGAAGACACCAATGTCGGCCCACTAGATTTTTTTATGTATCATTGTGTATAGAATGTTGATGTGCTGTAGTGATCGGTTATATATATATATATATATATATATATATATATATATATATATATATATATATATATATATATGTTCAAGTTCATTTGAGACCATGCTAATTTTGTGAGACCGTGAGACCAAATCTAAAAATAATTTTAAAATGTAAAATAAAAGGAAAAATCCAAAAATTCATTTTTTAATTATTATTTTCGGAACTTTAATTACCTAAAAAAATAAACAAAATAAAAAAAATAAAAAAAAAATTACCGTTTTTTTTAAAAATACGTGAAATATTCTAATAGAATATTACACTGTAAATATTCTAATGTGATTTTTAGAATGTTAGAATATTGTACTAGATTTGTCAGATATGTAGAATATTCTAATATTCTACTAGAATATGTAAAAAAATGTATTATTTATTTATTTATTATTATTTTTTTTGGTATTTTTTTTATTTTTTATTTTTGGAAAATATAAATTCCGAAAATAATATTTGAAATTTTTTTTTCGAAAATTTTCAATTATTTTGCATTTTAAAATGTTTTTTTTTATCTACTAAATGAGTGGCTAGGATTTCGTCTCACGGTCTCACAAAATTAGGCCGTCTCACATGAACCTAACTCTATATATATATATATATATATATATATATATATATATATATATATATATATATATATATATATATATATATATATATATATATATATATATATATATATATATATATATCATGGTTGCAGAAATCGCTAATCGGTGGACTAGCGATTAGGGATTAATCGGCTAGGCGAGGATTAATCGGGAGATTAATCAGAGACCATTAATTATTAAGAAAATTATTCAAAAATTTATAAATCTAATTTTAATCCTACAAAAAAGCGATTAATAGGCGATTAGGTCCGACTTTGACCTGCGTTGACCAAACCCGATTAGGTCCGATTAGGTCCGATTAATTCCGACTTTGACCTGTATTGACCAAATCCGATTATAGTGACCGATTAGCAATAAATCTCATCGGTAGAGGTCCGATTAGCGATTAATCGGCCGATTAGGCCGATTCTGCTACACTGATATATATATATATATATATATATATATATATATATATATATATATATATATATATCCTTATGTGTTAGGATGTAAGAGTAGCGGTATGTTGGTTATAGTACTAGTAGACTAGTTATCGTCTAGTGGAGTGCCTTAGGGGCTGTTTGTAGCCATGTAGGTTAGCCTAAGAACTCTTGATCTAGGCTTTCTTGTCTGTTCCTTATTTGGTTGTGGCTCTATAACATCTATTTGGTTGTCTATCTCACCTGTGGTTACATTTGGTTATGCATTCCTTGGAGATTTTCCGGTAGTGGAGCAGTATGTTGTGAGGGGCCTAGTAGTCGGTAGTGAACTGTTCGACAGGTAGATTCGTAGTTGCATGTGCTTATGTGCCTACTTGAATTCATGTTTGATTTATATGTCGACATATCGTGGGGGTTAGGTTGAGGCTGTCCTGCTTCGTGCTGTAGGCCAAGATACCAGGTGCGCGCCGACTGTAAGCTGTAGGTACGAAGGCTCTGGAGGAGTGGTTGGGTTGAGGCAGCAGACCAACATACCTGGGGCAATCCGGTCTTTGTGACTGTACGAATGGTGTGCATGCATTGTATGTGTATTGTGGTGTGTGGTATTTTGTGGGAACTCACTAAGCTTCATGCTTACCCAGTTGTTATTGTTTTTTTAGGTATCATCGATTATTGTGGGATGGCAAAGGTGTGACTGTACACATTTAATATCAACAATGAAGATTCCACGTTTACTATCTTACTTTGATTTTTAAACAATGTACTTTGGAACAAAAGGTTTTTCTTAACTTGGATTCTAAATATGTGAAGTTTTACTTTAACTAAAAATAAAAATTTTTGATGTGAAAATTAGACGTTATAATAAACCCAACTATTAAAATTAGTATTGTTTGCTTATGATTCTACACGTCAGAAATGATTTGGATCACAAAATGATCGATTTTGTTGCCAAATCATATATAAGATAGTAGAATTTTATGTATGATCGTAAGATCGAATAATGATCCGATCTCATCTTTTTTATTTTATTTATTTATTTTTTTAATTTGATTTTCGGTATCTATGTAAACATATAAACTTTAAAGTCATTCCTAACAATGAAAAATTAATTTCACATTTTAGTTCCATAAAGCCAACACATAATCTTAGAAGTTTGTTTTTTCTATTCGAAATCTGGCCTCAAAACTCGTCCTTTAAACTGGAAAGTGAACATCGCATATCGCATAAAGCCATCTATAGCCTCACAATATGGTGGTCTTCGTTTATTTACTCCATGATTTTATATAGCCTCACAGTATGGCGAGCTTTGTTTATTTACTCCATCATTTTATGGTTGCGGAAAATTTATGTTTTTTTTATGCATTGTATTTTGTTTTTATTGTAACCAGAATATATATATATATATATATATATATATATATATATATTAGAAAAAGCTTAAGTTTGTCGTTTCAAATTTTGATATAAGTTATGAAGAGGTAAGTATGAAATAACTTCTTTTTAGCTTTAAACTTATCTCTATTTTATACGATCTTTGATTTTGATCGATTTTACCATCACAAACTTATTATAAAAAATGATTTTAGGTAAATCCTGGTCATATCCAATGTGATTAAAGCCAACTCACTTTTTTATAGTAAAACATTTTGAACAAATTTGACCAAAAACCCTTAACATGCTAAAGATTTTTAGAAATTAGATTTCTTTTGTGATGGTTTTTGAAATTTAAATGAATTTTATAATAATCTTGAAAATAAATGTCCGCCATATATTGCATTTTGCCGCATAAAGTCATCTTAAATATTTGTTGACATCGTTACATCACATCTACATCATTAAGCATGTAAATAAAGTTGTATTGTCTATCAGTTTACAAGTTGTTTAATTTGTTACTCCATTAGTTTATTCATTGTTTTACCAAATTTGTTATTAGTTTAATCATTGTTTTATCAAATTAATTATATAGATTAATAACAATTCGAATTATAAATACAAAAACTGATATTAGAAAATATATTCCATTTCATAAAGATAAAAAATCACTTTGATCCGGAAGAAAACCAGACTCCTCTGTATAGACAGCCATTGTTCATCTAATCGATAAAATTGCTATGGTTGGCTTGTAAACCAAGTCCCAAAGAATCGAATTAAAGTAAAGCAATCCCACAAAAGAGAAAAAGAATGCCCCTATTAAAAACCAAATCTTTAATTCCAATTCAAGCATACATAATAATGTCAGCTATGGTTGAACCCAATAACCCTAACTGTAAGATAAAGGAAACACATAAACAATTTAAGGTTGTATTCTCAACTCTAATCATTACCCACGACGGGTTTTACGGAAATTTGCTAGATGCCTAGATCAGTTTGATTGGTTGTTGGGGGTTTTCGTAACATTCACTGATCAATCTTTTCATATAAATGGGAAATCTGTCTGCATTTTTCTTAACTATCTCTAAACGTCATAAGAAGATCAATAGTTCAGAGGTATTCTTAATATTTTATTTTTTTATTTTTTGAGTTTGATTCATTCAAATGATATAAGTTTGAAAAATCATTTAATGGTTTTTGGTTGAAGAGATTGAAAGAAGTTATGGAGAATCAATCATCAATGGAGATCCCGCTCCCGTCAATGATCAATGGCAACGACGTTTTTCACTCTCAGGTGCGTGTTTTTGTGTGTTTACTCTGATATCTACTTTTACTGTCTTTAGGCTTCCGATTTGGGTCCAATGGTGAGAAGTTTTAGTGCTTAAAATGTACAAACCCAAATCTATATATGTTTGACTTTAGAATGTCAAATGAATAGTTTTCAATTTTGGGAATTCACCAATTTAACAATTTATGGTGATTTAGGAGGATAATTGCTTGCTGTATTGACTATAAACTTAAGTATCACACAACTTAAGATATGAAAGTTTCCTAGTTTAACTTTCAAATTTTAAGTGGACGCTTAGGACTTTTGCCGCAACAGATTTTTTAAATTGTGTATTACTTTTCGTTGGGTTTTCACTAATTAATCACCAACATTTGCCATTTTTTCGTACTAATCAAGTTATGATTGAAAGATATACAAGCCACATTACTTGTAAAGATGAAAATTAATCTGGTTGAGCTGAAAAAGTCAAATAATATCTCTTCTTTGAAATGGCGCCGAATCCCCACCAAACAGAATCTAGTCAACATCTTCTCTTCTTCTATGCATAATAAAAACTTCAAATAATGGAACTGAATGAAGAGTAGGGTCATGACCATAACCAAGGAATAAAATGGACTGGAGAGAATAAACAATGTAATGAAATGAGTAATAATTACATGTATATATATAATATATAGTTTTAACTCTACTATTTACATTCGTTAATTATAATTAATAAACTTTAAAAAAAAATTACAACGTAATAAAGACTGATGAAAGCACAAAACAACAATATAATAAAAGTACATTTTACTTTCTAGTATTTAGAAGATAAATTGTAATTTAACTAAAATCGTGAAATTTTTTAAAAAGTTTTGCGTCATATAAAATTACATTAATGGCAATGCATGATGTTACAATTTTTAATTAAAATTTGAAGGAAAAAAAAAAACACAACCATGTCTAAGAAACAAAAATTTACAAAATAGAAGGAATCATATTTCTTCAATTCATCTCATTCCATCATACAAAACAAACAAACATTTTATTCTTTCATGCCAATTTCCAAGATTCATCACATCAAAGACTATCTTAATGTTTTCGGCTGTATTAACTGTTTCCCTTACAGACACTACCCGATGACTTAAACATATCAAAGAGCAAACTTACTTGTAACATCATACATAACCACAACTTCTCTAACGGTTTGCATTCGTGGCATGCAAACTGTTGTGATGTCTTCCTAGTTTCACCTTTTGAAGATCACACACAAAACCCATGTAAGAAGAAGCATCATGCAGTCATTACAAACAGAAACCAACATTGGCAAGGCTTGGAACAAGACATCACAACCAGGGTTTCTTCAGGTTCCACTTACACAGTTGTTGCTCGTGTTGGAGTTTCTGGTATGCATCTTGAAAAGGAGGCTGATGTCATTGCGACCCTTAAACTTGAATATCAACAATTGGAAACCAAGTATTTGTTCATCACAAAGTACGGTCTTTCCCTTTCCCCTATTCGTTTTTGGATAAATGTAATAAATTGCAACTTAATTACTTTCATTGATTTTGTTTATTATGCATCCTACTTTCATTTCTTTGTGTTACAACATTCTACTTTCATCTTTACAAAAAAAAAAGACTTTTGTTTTTCCTTTTTTTTCTTATTAAGACATTATACTTTAAAAAATTTATCTACCCAATTGTAGCATTATATCCTCATATTTTCTCTTCTAATCTGGACATTATATTCTGAAAATTTTACATAGCTACAGCAAAGAAAATTGCTTTGTACTAGGATGACAATACTATAATGTGTAGATTTGATCAAAGTAGGAGGTTGTAAGCAGAAGAAATGAAAGTAAGATGTTATAATAAACAAATCAATGAACCTATGTTTCTATTGCTTTAATCATTTTTGGGTGAAATGTGAGAAATTATTGATTTGTTTATTGTAACATCTTACTTACATTTCTTTCTGTTAAGAATTTGTCCTTTGAAAATTCTACCTAAATCTAGAAATTTCATTCAAATGCAACAAAAAATTCATTTGTTTAATAAGGTAAATTTAACAAAATATACCGACTTAATAAGAAAAAAAATGAAAGAAGAATATTATATATAATGGGGTAAAAATACCTTAAAAAGAAAAAAAATAAAATAAAAGTTTAATGTTGTAATAGAAATAAATGTAGTAAGATGTGATGATACATAAATGAATGAAAGTAGATGCATTTCTATCTCTTGCATTTAGCGCTTCTTTTTGGTATTTGTTTTTATTTCCTTTGCGAGGTGTTGTTGCAGGACTAGTGTTTCAAAAGAAAAATGGGAGGATTTGGAAGGTACATTTGTATTGTCAGACAAACCTGACCGTGTTGTCTTTTACTTGGAAGGACCGGCTCCTGGTGTAAACCTTCTCATAGAATCGGTCTCAATCTTTGGTGATGTAAGTCTACCTTTTTTCTACGTTCCAATTTTTGTAATATCTAAAATGTCTAAACTAACAACTTTCATATATGAATAATATATGTCTTCACTTTTGATATTGTTGTCTTGTAATTATATATAGGGGGAAATTGCACGATGTGTATATAATCAAGAAGGAAATATCATATTGAACCCTGAGTTTGAGGACGGAGTTAATAACTGGTCCGGAAGGGGGGTGCAAGATTGCATTACATGACTCCATGGGAGATGGCAAAGTCCCTTCCTAAATCCGGAAAGTTCTTTGCATCTGCAACAGAACGAACTCAATATTGGAATGGGATTCAACAAGATATTAGTGGAAAAATTCAACGAAAGCTTGCTTACCAAGTTACAGCCTTTGTTAGAATCTTTGGCAATAATGTTACTAGCTCCAGTGTTCGAGCTACGTTGTGGGTCCAAGGCCCCGATTCCCATGAACAATACATTGGCATTGCTAAGTTGGTTTCATCTCACAATCTCTCTTAAAGCTGTGTTAATTTGTTACATGTCTCATCCTATCTTGTCGTATCATGGACATGATACTGTACTTGGTTGGATAAGAAGGCATTATTTATGTATTTTGTACAAACAAAGGGTGCATAGGTGTCCTTGTTTTACCAAATTGGATGAGACGAAAAATTACATATTTTATCCCATTTACATCCATCCTAGTCTATTAATGCATGTCAATTGCACTATAGATTGTACTATCCCCTAGGTGTGAATTTATAATTTTGCTTATCTTTGTTTCTTTGGGATTGAAGCTCACAAGCAACGAATTCAGATTGGGTACAACTGCAAGGGAAGTTTCTTTTAAACGGCTCGCCTTCAAAAGTAGTCATTTATTTAGAAGGTCCGCCTCCGGGTACAGATATTCTCCTTGACGGCTTAATGGTTATGCATGCCGAGAAAATACCTCCTTCGCCTCGACCTGTTATTGAGGTTCTTCGCTAAACTTCAAAATTTCTCTTTTCAACTTAATTGAGTAATTACTTGGTATTCGATTAAATTACTTTAATTGTTTTAGCTAAATACAAGAGTTCACAAGATAGTTTCATTATTTGTGTATTATAGGACCCTACCTTTATTTATTTCTCGTATTTAGTTCTTTTTATTAAGTCAGGCGTAGATTATGAAAGTACAATGATGGATAGACCTAGCCTTATTATAACATCTCACTTTCATAGTTCTGTTGCAATATTGTAGTTTTCAACTCTTTCTATTAAAATATCATATTTTGAAAGATCTACCCATTTATAGCATTATAGTTTATTTTTTACTCATTACATTTTTCATACTTTGAAAAGTCAACCCAGTTATTTATAACAATGAAATTGTTTTGTAACTTGATTTAAACAATAATTAGGTAGATTTTTCAAAATACAATGTTGATGTTGTAATAAGGAAAAATTAAAGTAAAAACAAATCAATAAAAGTAGGTTGTTATTTGTTACATTTAACCCAAGTTTTTGTTGTTAATCTACAGAATCCAGAATATGGAGTTAACATTATTGCGAATAGCAATGTTAGCGATGGGACAAACGGGTGGTTTCCCCTCGGTAATTGCACATTAAATGTGGTGACTGGTTCACCTCGTATACTCCCACCGGCGGCAAGAGACACCCTCGGCCCCCATGAGCCGCTAAGTGGCCGTTGTATACACACCACTAACCGCACCCAGACGTGGATGGGTCCGGCTCAGATGATAACAGATAAAGTCAAACTCTTTGTAACTTACCAGGTTTCCGCTTGGGTTCGACTCGGTCCTGGAGCCACCGGTCCACAGAATGTAAACATTGCTCTCGGGGTTGATAGCCAGTGGGTCAATGGTGGTCAGGTGGAGCTCAATGATGCTGACAGGTGGCATGAGGTTTGTGGATCTTTTAGAGTTGAGAAACAGCCAGCTAAAGTCATGGTTTATATTCAAGGCCCGGCTGAAGGAATTAATTTCATGTTGGCTGGACTTCAGATCTTTGCGGTGGACCGGCAGGCCAGATTCCGACATTTGAAACGTCAAACGGATAAGGTAATATATTCTTGGCTCGGGGTTTGTTTCTTTGTTTCCGCTGCTATATATATATATATATATATATATATATATATATATATATATATATATATATATATATTAAGTGTTTGAAACAAGTGCTGTGTATGAACAAAACCGGTTTCTTTTCTTGTGCTAAATGAACCGTACCTTGCGTCTTAATGTGAGTAAATAACCATTTTAACATTTTGTGTTCAATTTCATTGAAACGGTTCATTCGATTTAAAATATAAAAGTCTTAGGTCCCGTTTGATAGTTTCTGTCTGGTAAAGTGCTGTTTGGGAAAGTTTTTTGACTGGGAAAGAAACCATGCTGTTTGATTGTACATCTGATTGACTGTGCTGAATGATGAAAAAAAATAATAATTCAATAAAAAATAAATTTAAAAAAAGTTATTTAAAAAAATTAATAATCCAATAAAGAAAGAAAGAGGCGGGGTTTGGTGTATAATTGTCTTTCCAGCCCATTCAGCTAGAAAGATATGATTTTGGGGCTTTCTGGGAAAGACATATCTTACCGGGAAAGACCCATTCTTTTGTGCAAATCAAACAGTCTTTCCGGTCCATTCAGCCAGAAAGATGCGTATCAAACGGGGCCTTAGTCATACAACATTTCTTCAATACGGACATCATTTGCCTACATCGCACTATATCGAAAAAATAAAAGCATGTCCTTAATCTAGTCTTAGGTAATGTTTGCTGTGATGGATTTGAGCCAATGAATAGAATAGGAAAAAAAAACTATTTACTTTGCTGGGTAGAAAGGAACAGATCATTGTTAAAGGAATGCGATTCTTCCGGTTAATTATGATTCCTCATTTCATGGATTTTTTTTTCAATAATTTAAATCTAACACACTAAATTTTTAAGACATTTCACCAATTTAATTAAGTTACAATTTTGTTTCTTTTTCTAAATCAGGATTTCATTGATTTTAATTAAAAACACATAGATGGTTCATTTAGTCCAGAAAAAGGAAAAAGAAAATCTTTGTACGTGCTGCTGAAATGTTCTCAAGACACATTATTTATGCATTCAACATTTTATTTATACAATACTTAAAAGGGGAAAAAAAGCATAACGTAAGTTTTTTGAATTCTCGTTACTCTCCAGATTCGTAAACGAGATGTCACACTAAAATTTTCCACCTCGGACTCGAGCAGTATCCACGGTGCAACAGTAATCGTGAAACAAACCCAAAACAGTTTCCCGATCGGATCATGCATTAGCCGCTCCAATATTGACAACGAAGATTTCGTCTCATTTTTTATTAAAAACTTTAATTGGGCTGTTTTTGGAAACGAACTAAAATGGTATTGGACTGAACCACAACAAGGAAACCTAAACTACAAAGATGCCGACGAGCTTCTAAAATTATGTAACGATAACAACATTACGGTTCGCGGACACTGTATCTTTTGGGACGTGGAATCCACGGTTCAAGATTGGGTCAAGAAGCTGAGCAAACCAGACCTAACCACGGCTATACAAAATCGGTTAACTAGTTTGCTGAACCAATACAAAGGTCGGTTCAAGCATTATGATGTGAACAATGAAATGCTTCACGGCTCATTTTACTCTGACCGGTTAGGTCCGGGTTCACGAGCCGATATGTTCAAAACCGCGAACCGGCTGGACCCGTCTGCTACATTGTTCGTCAACGATTACCACATCGAGGATGGGTGCGATCCAAGATCTTCCCCAGAGAAATACATGACACAAATTCTTGATCTGGTACAACAAGGCGCACCGGTTGGTGGGATAGGTATTCAAGGACATATAGACAGTCCAGTGGGTCCGGTTGTCTGTTCGGCTCTCGACAGACTCGGGACCCTTGGACTGCCCATCTGGTTTACAGAACTTGATGCTTCTTCGGTTAATGAGTATGTTAGAGCAGATGATTTGGAGGTTATGTTTCGGGAAGCTTTAGCTCATCCCGCTGTTGAGGGGATTATGATTTGGGGGTTTTGGGAGTTGTTTATGAGCCGTGAAAACTCGCATTTGGTGAATGCAGAAGGTGAGATTAATGAAGCTGGGAATCGGTTTCTTGAGCTCAAGAAAGAATGGTTGTCGCATGCTCATGGACATGTTGATGATGTCAGTGAATTTGGGTTTCGAGGTTTTCCGGGGACTTATGAGGTGGTGGTTGTTACTGGTTCCAAGAAAATTGTCAAGAAGTTTGTTGTTGAAAATGGTGATCTTTCGTTGGTGGTGCCAATAGAATTTTAATTGATAAAGTAAATATTTTATGGAAACGAAGGAAATAATATATGTTGGCTGATATATGGCATGGTGTGTTTAGGTTCGATGTTCAAGTTTGGTCCAAGTTGGTGTGTGGAAGTGGAACACTTGTAAACTATATTGTAAACTATCAATGTATAAGTATATCTGTATATATATGATATATGAAGTGATGAATTTGAAAACAATGTATAAGTATATCTGTATATATATGATATATGAAGTGATGAATTTGAAAACGAATAAATTTTACACATCTTTCCTTTCAATCCAAATAGCATCTACAATCCATTGAACTCTAAACTCTATAGAGTTCAATAGATCGTCATATTTTTGCTACATCATCCACTAAATACATATTCAACTTTATTTTGAAGACCTACACTCCATTAAACACTTATTCAATCATAGTTATCATTTTATTTTCTTTATGGAACCCTATTGAATAGTTAAAGATTATTGAACTCTTTCACCCAACTCCATTCCATGTCATCACCCATACTACTTGTATTGGGGGTGTCCTTAAAAATGTACCTAAGGTGAACAACGGAATTTACTAAATAAACAAGAGACTAAACAAGGAAATTAGCAACAAAACTAAGTTACAATCTTTTGTTATCATTACCCAAAAACCACAGTGGATATCACATGTTAACAGTTGGAGTTAAAAGTATTAGATTGTATGTAATTTTGAAGACTAAAACAATAGGACAAAACGAAGACATTCTGCTGTCCAAAATTGAGGAAAAAGAGTAGACGAGCTGGGCAATAAAGGCCTTTTAATTTATAGAGGTGCAGACATACAAAGTTTATGCTGCATTTTCAGTTTCTATTCTACTACTAAAAGGAATAAAACAACTTGCAGTTAAGAAGATAAAAAAAATAAAACAATTTCACAATTGGTCCATTTAGTTTGTAAAAAGTCCCATGATGAACGGTATTTTAAAAAAAAAAAGCCCTAGCGTCTTCCGGTGATTCTTCGTAACTTTCGGGCAGGTTCAAACGGCGACCAATTCTGCTTGCTCTATTTGTCTTCGATCCATGATAGGTCTATTTCATGACGATTCCTAAAGATTACGAGTGGAGGATTGGTAATAATAGACCGATTGGGAATGGAAGTAAATCAAATCAGAAGCATGTTGAGAAGTTGTCTCCGTCATTTTTCGTTACTAATTTCTCGAATGATATGTGGCATCTTTTTGAAGAGTTTGGTAGGATTGCAAACATCTATATAGCAAGAAAAATTATCTAAGAATTGCGTTCATTAGATTCTTGAAAGTTTTTGATGCTAAACGCCTTAGGAACAGACTTGGTGACATTTGGGTGGGTTGTTTTCATCTGTTTGTATCGATTGCCAAATTTAGTAGAGGTCTTAATGCTTCATCAATAATCAAAGGAATGACCAAAAGGGATTTCAAGAATCATATTAGGGCCAATTCTAATCTGCATGGAAAAGAGTTTATGCATGGAGTTTCTTACGCAAAGGATCGAAAAGGATGTTAAAAAGATTACTTTTTCTGTAGGGGATCTGCATGTGGTTGATGATTCAAAATGAGTCATGGTGGGAAGGATTAAAGATGAATCTGTGATCCCGAGGTTATATCATCTTTGCCATGTTGAAGGTTTCGATGATGTTGACATCAGGGACGGACGCAGGAATACATTGCAGGTGTTGCCGGGACGAATAGGTGTTGCCGATACATGAAAAACAAGTAAAAAAATCGAAAAATCGAAAATTTTTCCACTGCGGCCAGAAAAGTTAGGGGTTGCCGGTGCCACACCGGGAACCCCTTAAAACCGTCCCTAGTTGACATTAAGTATGTAGGTGGGACTTGGATTTAGTTTGAATTCCATTCAGAAAAAGCTTATGTCTAGTTTAAACAATGCTATGGAATTAGATCTTTTTTTTTTGTGGAATTCACCAATGTGTCAAAGAGATTTGTTGTGAAGGAATGCGCAATATGGATAGAGAAGGCCTTCCTCTTTCTGCTTGGTCGGCTGCTGCCTTCATGAAGGTAGCTTCTATTTTTGGTAGGGTTCTATATGTAGATGAAGACTTGGACGAACATATGTCGAGTGGGAAAGTGTGTATTGTTGCACCTGTTTCTGGTTATATAAAGGATCACCTCCTAGTAACGATTGAAGGTCTCAAATATAATATACATGTTAAAGAGATTGTTGAGTGGTGCCCTGATATTGAAAGATTTTATCATGTGGTGCAAGATGAATCGAATGGAAATGAAGATAAGGCTCAGCATGAAGAAAAAGAGAGCTCTGATGAGAATAGTATAGATGGGGGCGAAGATGGAGATTGCAATGGATTCCTATCTGATGAAGTTCCAAAAGAAGATGGTTTGGGTAATGATAAGTATGAGGGGTTCAAAGAACGGGTTGTGGAAGATGTTTCAGTAAGACGGAAGATCATATAAGGAAGAATGATGGAGAGGAGATGGTTAATTCAAAACGGTTGATTTCTTTTGTGCTTGAACCTGTTTTCGCTGCTTCACAACAGGATAATCAAACTGAAAATGCAGGAAACTACTTTGATAAAGGAGTTAAAACTGAAAAACTATTCGAGTTCATAAGAAGAATGGCCCAAAATTAAAAAAAATGCCAGGGTCATTCCACTGAATTCATTGAGATGGCTACTGATGGATATCAAATCTCGAGTTCAGATTTTGTTCCACCTGGTTTTAATGGCAAAAGATTTCACTCTCTAATCTAGTTTGGACCTTGCTCTTTGGATAAGTTTTAGTATTCTAATGCATAAGTTAGTAGAGGTAAAAAACATAATCTTAAGTCCAAATTTGTTCATGTTGGTTCATTAATTGATGTCATGGAGAAATATGTGGAGTTTGGGAAGGTGTTAGGGTATGATTTCTCTAGATGCAAAGATGATTTTCTCGAATCATTGAAAGACAAGGTGTGCAATGGTTTTAAATGAATACCATGTCCATTAACATATGTGGTTTTAAATGCCACAAGAAATTAAGATGGATAAAACTTTTGTGTATAGAGTATTCAATTAGTGTGTTGGGGATTCAAGAAACTAAAATCTAATGACTTCATTTGTTCTAAGTTAGACCGCTCTGGGGAAATTTAATAGGTTTGGTGGATTAGGTGTATAAGCCCATAACTAAAGTTGATATATATTTGAATTTAGTAGCACAGTCATTTTGGGTTGCCCTCGAACCTAGCAAATTGGACATCATGATTTTAGAGAGAGAGAGAGAGAGATGAATTTATTATGTGAATAATAAATTAAATAAATGGTTTATTAATGTATTATGAAAATAATATATTAATTAGAAATCATATTATTTAATTAATAATTAATCAGAAATTAATTGGAATTAATTTTGGGATTAATTGGATTAATTAAAAGTACAAGGATTGTTTTGTTATTTATTAATAGTTGAGAAAGTGAAGGCTCTAGAACCTCATGGAATGAGGTGGACAAAAATCTCTAGGGAAACCCTAGGAGATTTCGTCCAAGGCCCCTTGGACAAGGGAATTGGGCTACTTGGTCACCAAGCAAGGGAATCTAAGGCTTATCCTTTGAACCCTAGCTTTGCCACCAAGTTTCCTCAACTATATAAGGAGTCCCCTAGCCCTTGATTCCGTCCATTCCTTCCCTCCACAAGCCTTCGATGAAAATCTCTCTCTTCTCTCCTAATTTATTCTCTTGCTAGTTTGAGTGTGACCATTAGAGGCACGACATTTGTGGTGCTTGCTTCCAAGAGATATTCAAAGGGAATTTCTAGTTGTTTGATATAACAACTAAAAGGCATGTTATCCTAAAACTCTCTAATGTTAATGTCGAAAATACCCTAGGGTTTCCAGGTTTCTTTTTGATGTTCTTAGTTATATGTTCAATAAAGAAACACAGATCCTATTTAGGTTGCATGCAAATTTAAGGGTTTTAATTTTGTTTGTTTACCTAAATCCCATCAGTGGTATCCGAGCGTTTGGTTTGTTTTCTGTTGAATAATTATAATAGAATAATAGATCAATTAGGGTTTATTCAAATTAAACCCTAAGAGGCCATGATTTCAACAAGGGCTAGGGTTTTAAACCCTAGCCTCCAGCCTTGATTTTCGAAATTAAGGGCTAGGGTTTTGAAACCCTAGCCTTCCTCCCCAAGTAATTTCGAAAATGGTAGGCTTATAGGGTTTCCATATTTTGATAATTGCTAGTTTAATTTGATTAAAATGGATAATTATATAATTGGATAAATCATATACCATTATTTTCGAAATTTAGAGGGTAAGGATTAGAATTAAATTATTTGATTAATTTAATTAGATAATCCTTAATTGATTTAATTTATTTAATTGTTAATAAATAAATCATTATTAACTTATTTTAAATTTAATTAATTGAATATTAATTTCTAAATTTAAAATATAAACCCTAGTATTTTGAAAAATTTAAAATACACCTTCTACTATATTTAAGATTAAAAACTTAATTATTACTATATGTATAAGAATAAGTCAGTCAAATCGCTAGTACGCCTCATTCACGAAGCTAGTCTATAAGGGGGTATAAGAAAACTGCCTATAAAATGGTAATTAAATGGGTGTCCACTCTCACCCACCGCTTTCTTGATTAGTGGAGGGTCGTTAGCCGAACGAATTTTATAGGACAAATTAATTCTCATTAAAAGTATAATTCTATTAAAAGTAACTAGAATTTTTTATTAAAAAATCTCAATATTAGTTACTTTAGAAAAATGTGAATTTGTATGCTGACCCATGAAATTGCACATTACACTTTATAAGTCGTTAGTGGAGTGTGTGTGGTTAACCAGCACACTAATAGGGACTAATAAAGAGTTGTAATGGGTATCATATAAATTATCATTGTTGATGGAGCATGTGTGGTTTACCAACACATCAATTTGGGATGATAAATGTCAATGAGGTTACCAAGCACATTTGCATGGTTATTCACATCTTGTTTGTGTTCCTCGGTATCACAGTCACAAATAGAACATCATAATATGAGATTAAACTGTGACAACCCGAAATTTTTTTGTTTTGAAAGCCCAGTCAGTCAACTCAACTGAGTGTCAAACTCATTGGTAATGAGTTCCAGCCTGGTTAAAAGTCATTGTAAGGAGTTTTAAGCCTAATGCACTTAAGGAATGAGTGTTAGAATGTACCTGCTAGAGACACTATTCAACAAATCAAGCCTTACCCTTTTCATTTAGAGTTCACGACCACAACACTTGAGTTTACGGCCGTAAACTCAAGGTGGGCCGTAAACTCCCCTCATATAGGCTCATATCCTTCAACTTTCTTCATTCTCTCATTTCCAACTCAAGAACACTCCATTTCTCTCTCAACTATCATCCCGATTTTCATCCTAGATCATCAAAAGTTGTAAGTGTTCTTCCTTGATTTGTTGTTACATCTCATTATCTAGTATCATTCCATGATTCCATCCATGAAATCATTCCATTTGCTAGATCTTCAAGTTTCACCAAGAACACCAAGAACACACACTAGTGTTCTTGGCCAAAATCAACCATTTCAAGCCTCTATATCGTAAGTACTCTTCCCTACACTTGATATCTAGTTAGGACTCATGCTTAGACCCTTGAAAACATCAAGATCACAAGAACAAAAGGAGTTTACGGCCAAGCCATCTCCCATGGCCGTAAACCCCCTTTAAGTGTGCCATTTTGGCCATAAACCCTCCTAGATGCAAAGCTTGTGACCTAGAACCCTTCATTGATGAGAATAGGACCTTAAACTACTCTCAAATGCATAATGACCATGCGTTTACGGCTGTAAACTCCTTTGGGCCGTAAACTCATCAAAAAGCCTCCATTGAGTTGGTCTTTCTCATCCTTGTGTAGAGCAAAAGTCTCTAAAGCTTCCCTAGCCTTCAAACCCACACTTATGCATGTTTGACCATGAGTTTACGGCCGTAAAATCCCCTTGGCCGTAAACCCATGGTAGTAAACTCATGGTATTACCATTCCACTTTCCTTTGATGAATCACATGTGATTCCAACACTTGGTCAAAGTGTTTCCTAGTCCTGGAAGGTGTTTCCTTTCATATAGTTGCTTATAAACACTATATTCATGCCAATATATGTCATTTAGGACTTGTTGTGTCTCAGGACTTCATTCGTGGAACTTCTCATCCTTACACGCGTATTCGTTGAATCACCCACATCAGGTGAGTTCATACACCGTAATGAATCTTTTAACTGTTTTAAATGCTTTTAAGTGGGGGAATACAAGTTGAACACAATGATAATTGTGTAATTGTTTGTTATAAACATCTTTCAAAATGTTGCTTATGTCTTTTATAAGTGATCAAAACATTTCAAAAACTCTTTTAAAGTTATGTTACTTTATAGTTAATAAAACTCCGTTTTTAAAAGTACAAGCATAACTTAGTAGTAAAATGAGTATTTTCAATAACAGTTCAAGTAAAAACATTAGTAAACTATAATAGGTATAGTTTAGGAAGATACTATTCATTACTTCTAGTACAATGAAGCATACAAAGAGTCAGTTCATACATGAGTCAAACATACTATGATGAGAAACAAACAGAACATACATACATACTAGACAGAGAGAACCTACAATACAGCTAGTACATACATTACATATACAAGTATACAATAACATAAATGTGAACCATCGTTCGGGGCATGGCATCACCTGTCATGGCTCGATTTGTAGCCAGAATCTCCTGGAGGGAGAGCGTGAATTTGTGTATAGATCTATACTGGATTGACTATCCTACACCTTGCTGTTAGCTACAGTGGGACTTGCAAGTCTACGGGTGCCAAATGTCATTTCTTCCGACATCTTTCATTATCGTGTTATTAGTCGATAGTATGGTGCAACCATTTCACATTTAATCTTAATAAACGGCCGAATTAAGGTAGAAAGTACAGCAGTAGTTACTATAATACAACACTACAGTACTTTATTATTTCCCCATTTCATTCACATTGTGATCTTCTCACAATAAACAGTAATGTAAAAAATATATTTTTGGTTAATGATAGTCTCACTTGGGAAATTACACAACTCATGCAAGAAACAAACATATATATAACATTAGACGCCTTGGTAGAAGGCTACATTTAGTAGAGAGGACCATAATGCTAACCTTATGATTCCTTAATGCATACATCAAAGGATATATATATCAATAGGATCCGACAGGTAATAGGATGTGTGCTCTCCGCTTCATTTCCTGTTCCTTGTTTGGTTGTGGGCTTGGAACGAATTCACCCAGTCTATTTCTATTCGATCTAGATAATATATATGCTCAGTATACATTAAGTCTCATAAGGGTACCAGTATGGGTCAAGTCATAGGACACAAAGTCAATGCACAATTTTCTAGTACAAAACATACTTTCCAAATCAGAACTTTGGTATACAAAACTAGAA